CTCCTTTACCAACTTCTTTCACAACCTCTTTGGTACGTAGCTTTCCACTGTCCTGCTACTGTACCTTCTTTGCATACGTACTTGGGCGTTCCGATCAGTCCGTCCTTCGCTAGCCAACACCTGCAGTATATCTCGCCAAAATCTGACAGACGACGTCATCAAAATTGATTTTTCTTGCGATACAAACTAAAAAATAACAACCACAAGAAAAATTGCAAATTGCAGTACGTATTTTTACGAGCAATGATGCATGCACGATGCCCATTGTATCCCGCTGCTGCATAACAAATGGGGATTGTTCCAGAGATGATTCAAGCAAAGGGCAAAAACAATACAGTAATCGATTTATCCTGCTGTCGGTGTTTGGTGGGAGCTACCAGAGATATGAAGTTGCCTTCGAGGCAACTTCAGTGGGATCTGCAAATACTCGTGGTGGAGACTGGAGTTTCAACCTGTAGTTTCGAGTTGACTTCTTCCGCTGTAACCTACTACATCTGGTTCGTATCAAACTGGTATTTAATAATAATACCAACACAAACAACATCCAGCTGCCAACCCTGTTTGCGTTGGAAGCTCATGTTTCCATGACTCTTGACGAAACAAAACAACTGCAAAAGACAATGCCCGTCATATCCTTGCAGTCGACGGAACGAGGATGACTGATTGATCGATATGCGTTCCTCCTGGATACAATCCACGTAGACTGGCATCTCGAGACGGACTGTGAAAGCTGCAGAAACAAACAGGTATTTGATTTGGCTGGTCCTCGTACTTTTCATGCGTGGCTTCTGGTGCTTCACAAGACATGGTACCCAATGTGAACTCACTAGCCGTAGCATGATCTTGAATCATCTTTTCGTGAAAATGAGTTCTGCCTCCATCCGATTCGCAGTTTACCATGTGGTGAGGAGATGCACGACTCTGCAGCTTGGATGCTACCAATGAACACATGGGATGGAAATGTACATGACAATTAGATGCTGCGCACTTCACAAAAGAATTTGTCGTCTTGAATAGATGCTGACTGCAACACGCTGTTTCGTCAGCCCCGCATAGAGCACAAATGGCACTTCTACGATTGGTTGACTGTTCCTCCATTTCAGGCACCATAGCAACATCGGTCCAAATCCTACAGACTTCATGAACCCAATGTTTTGTATCGTCAATGGAGACAGGAGACATAGCTCCGCCAGAATATGGGCAAAGGGCACATTTCTGTTCATAACGCGAGGATGATTGAGCTACTTCGCTGGCAAAAAAATTCGGGGGGGCATCAGGCGACTGAACTGGAACGCCGTGTGGTTCCATAAGCCCACTAGGTGGGTGGGTAACTTTCATGTTTTCCGAGACTTTACACACAGACTCACTTGTATCATTGGCGCACTGTTGTCGTCTTAAACAGCACACTGCACACATCCATTTTCCAGAAATTGTTCCTCCTTTCGCAATATGCGACACTTCTCCAGGATCGAGGCAGCACTGCAAATGTGCTGACAACCCGCAAACAGCGCATGTTTGTACCTCTCCTAATTGAGAGGATCTAGGCGCCCAGCACACAGTACAATGCAACGAATTTTGTCTTGCCGAGTTATTGAGTATATCATGGATAGATGGTATGGTAATATTCCCCGGCGAAGTGCAAGTCACGCAAATGACACCAGTGTTATCAGGCAAGCAATCGAATTGTGGTTCTCGAAAGCCACTTTCTCCTTCGCCTTCGGATCTTTCTTGATCCGAAAGCACATCTTTTTCTCTGATATTCCCATGCTTTAAAAGTATGCTGGCGTAATTGTTTGGATTGACTACACATCGTTTTTTCGTTCTCATCCCCCAGAAATGTGTCGCCGAGAGTGGCGAATACTGCGATGAATTTTCACCATAACAGTATTCTCCTTCTACTTTGATTGCCAGCCGAACATCTCGCGGTCGCTTTTGAGATCCACTGTCTAGTTTTTCTCCTGTCAACAAAGATGTAAAGAAAACCCTCTGTGGCTTACCAGGGGGGCTCTTTGCTGTCCACATTCTTCTCGTTCTACCAACTGTGATCCGATTGGCATTTTTACCAGTTGGATTTGTTGGAGGAAGACCATGCCTACAGTCATACGACCCTAGCGCTTTGGCTATCGCTTTTGCTCGTTTCATACTGAGGAAACGACCGTCTTGTACCTCAGCAGGAAGCCGAGCTTCTAGATACCCAGCTAGATCGGAAGGCAATATTGAAGACTTGCTGCTCGTAGAATTGATCCTCACTGACCATTCTTTTTTGCGACTGATCGTCTTGGCGTGATCTTGTACAGTGCTTTTGCGACGATGTGCAATCTCGAACGAGAGTAAAGCAATCTCTCCTGGGAGGCTTTTAATTGAACGAAATGAAGCACTGTTGCCTTTGAAACGATAGTGGAGATTGTTCTCATCCTCATAGTTAATGATGGAAGTGAGGTCAATGATTCCAGGATCGGAACACCGCCGAGCTACTGAGTGAAGACTGGCAGAGTTTCTTGCAAACGCATATTTCGATTTCCGTTCTTTCTTGTTCATACTGCTTGGGGTATGGGCGAAAGGCATGTCGCGGCCTTCACCAGCAGCCAGTATGTCGGGCATTTCATCAATATCAAACGGAATGGTTTTGGAAAGCGGAACAGTGTCGTGCATCCAAGGAAGCCCCATTGGAAGGACAATTCTGTGATTGATGCTGTTTGCATCTCTTAGCAAGGATCTACTATAGGCACGCTCATTCAATGTGGCGAGGAGGGATGCTGCTGCATCAACACGAAGTCTTTTTTTCGTTGCTTGTTTGTATCCCTTTTAGCCATAAACAAAGACATTTTAGTGTCCTCTATAATGCGAGATACAAGTCGCGATAATAGCAGTACTCACCATTATTTTTCTATTCGCAGCCGACTTTGTGTCCTCTTGTCGATTGGAATTTACTCCCTGTTTGTTATCTTGAATCGGATGTTCCGTAGAATTGGAAATACTCTGTATTGTCTCGTGTCCACTTGCGAATTCACTCGATTTAGATTCGTTTTCTTCGGTCACAATCCAGTTCTTGAATTCCCGTACCCTTCGCGAGGAAGATCGAGTACTCGCGGCATTGACTGTTGACTCTGTGCTGTCAGGGATTGCCTCCATCTAGCCTCACAGCTAGATAGATGGAACGTTACGTGAATTAAAAACAACAAAAATGGTCGAAACAAACGCTTTTATCTTTATACACCCGAGGCAGATGAATGGCTGTTCCTGTTCTCAGCTCCGAAGTTGACCCAATAGACCTTGTCTCTTGTGAACTTGGAACCGATGTCCTGGCGTCTGTACGTCCACCCCAGGCGAGCTTCTCCACATCCAAGAAAAGGGTGCCTGTGGTACTAGAAATGTTGAAGGTTTCTATCACATGTGGAAGAACAAGGGTGTGTCACAGTATGATATCACCGCCATAAACGACAAACAGTCATGCAAGGACAAGGTATTTGATTCTATTTGTAAGCTTGATACACGAGCTAGCGACAACATCAACAGTTTGTCGAACATGGTACAAGATGGATTTGATGTATTCATGGACACAAAGAGAGAGAACAGCTTCTTTG